TCGAGTGATGACTGCGCCTGCACGTGCGTGGAGGGCGGCCACGGCGATGCGTGCCTGCCCGTTGCTGTCCCCGAGCTACCGAGCACCGACGGAGCCGACTTGTGCTTGCGAGACGTGAGTGTGGGTGTGGAGGTGAACGCCGGTCTCGGGACGTCGGTGGTGTGCTACGTTGGTGTGAGCTTTGCGGCGGACGTTGTGGTGGAATTGGAGTCGATGTCAGGGAGCGTGCGCAACGTGACGCTGGCGAACTGCACGTTTGTGCGCGGAGCGAGCCTGTACGTTGTTGGGTGGCGGTCCGACCCGCCTGCTGGCGAGCGCGTCGATGTGTTGATCCGCGGGCTTGAGTCGCGCTCCGGCGGCGGCGTAGTGGTGGCGAACCGATTTCCGCCGGGCTCGCGCGTCACTGTGGTGGACTCGGTGCTGATTGCAGAGGCACGTGTTGCGTACCGCGGCGTCTACGACCTTGGCGACGCGTCCGCGTGCCTCGTGCTGCACAACGTGAATCTGACTGGGAGCGTACTGACCATTGCGCGCACGCATGTGGCGGCGGTGTTCCGCGACGCTGTTGGCGTGTTGGTGGTTGGCGGCGTGGCGCTGTCGTTGCGCGGTGCGCTGTACGTGGACGGGCTGTTGGTCCAGACGGCGCTGGGGCTGTGCGTGTCGGTGGAGGGCGGTGTTGCGGCCAGCGGCGGCTCCGTGGTGGCGTTTGTTGGCAGCGACTTCCTGCTGTGCAGGCACGCGGTGTCTGTGCGTGGGGCTGTGAGCGTGTCGGGCTCCGCTGTGATGCTTGTGCGGAACGACTTTTTGTCGACGGAGGACTACGCAGTGGCGTTTCATTCAACGGTGAGCCTGGCCGACGGGTCAATGCTGCTGGCGAAGGACAACGTGCACGACGGCGTCTCGAGGGAGATGCTCCACGCCGCTGGCGCCGTGACCGCTGTTGGGAGCACGCTGAGCTTTCTGCACAACCGAGTGCTGCTGCCGCGGATGCTGTCGGTGAGCCTGTCGCTCGCGGCTGGGGCGCATTTGAGGGTTGCGTGCAACGGCGCTGGTGGACGTGTCCTGTCGACGGCGGAGGAGTACGCTGCGGCTGGTTTTGGCGACGCTGGGAGCATCGAATTTTTTGGATGCGACGCCTGCGACAGGGACACGCACTGCTACGCGCCCGGGACGGCGTCTGCGAGCATGAGGAACGGTGTGTGCGTGTGCGCGTGCGGCAGTGGCGGGTATGGCGAGGCATGCGTGCCTGTCGGTGCCCCCGCGATGCCGCCTGCTGTGGGCACCGCGTCGAGTGTGTTTGTCCGCGAGGGCGTGACGGTGCGGTCGGTGTTCGTTGTGCCTGCCGATGCGAGCGAGGTAACGCTGCGCCACGTTGTGCTGGACGGCGTGAGCCCTGTGCTCTACGTGCCGTGGATGGCGCGGGACGGCGTGCGGATCGTTGTGCAGAACGTGTCGCTGCGTAACGCCGCCGTGCTGTACGTGATGGGCGGTGGATCGTTGCGCGGTTCGCTGGCGGAGGGGAGCGACGAGGGCGGGCCGGTGGAGCTGTCCGTGTGCGATGTGGAGGCGCTGAACGGTGCGCTTGTGCTGACCGGCACGTTCCCCGCGGGGTCCGTGCTGACGGTGACGGACTCCCTGCTGGTTGCCGCGAGGCCGACGCCGCTTGTGTATCTTCCCGGCTCGCGGTCCTCGCCGTACGCACCGGTGCTGGTGCTGTCGGGCCTGCGGCTCGTGCGGTCCGTGCTGTTTGTGTTCGGCGTTGCCCTCGTGACCATGATGACTGGTGGGCGGACGGTGCTGGTGGACGGCGCCGTCCTGGAGCTTGTCGGTGGCGGTGTCGCGCTGGACGCGGCTGTGCTCGGTGGCGAATATGCGTTGTACGCGAGTGCGCGCGTGGTGGCGTCTGCAGGCGCTGTGCTGCGCGTGTCGGGAAGCCAGGTGTACGCCGCGCATGGACTGGTGTTTGACAGCGGGGCGGTGGCCAACGCGTCCGCCGTCGTGGTGAACGACAACTTCGGTGCGCTGACCGATGGCGCGCTGCTGGAGCTGCGGGGGTCGGCGTCGTTTGTTTCCGGGTCGTGGCTGTCGGTGCGCGGCAACAGCATCAGCGGCAGGCTCCTTTCGCTGCCGTCGTACCCGCGCAGTGCGGAGCTCGTGCAGAGCACGCTGACGCTTCACGGGAACGCTGGCAGCGGGCCCGTTGTGATGGACGGCACCGTTGTGCTTGGAGGCGCCGGCCGGAAGTTCGTTGTGGGGTGCCTGACGCTCAACGGGCAGGCGCTGCAGCCGATGGACTACAGGTCCGCCGGCATCATCGGGGAATTCCGCCCCGTGGCGTGTGGCGTGTGCGACGCCGACGTGCGCTGCTTTGCTGCTGCGACGAGGGCGATGTCGGGGTCGTGTCGCTGCCGCTGTGCTGAGGGCGGGTACGGGCGCGACTGCCTGCCGGTGTACCAGCCGCACGTGGACGGGTGCAACCGCACGCCCGCCATGCCGCCGCTGCTGAGCCATACGGCGACGCTGACGGAGACGCGCAGCCTGACACCAACGGGGACGCCGAGCCTGAGCACGGCGCACTACAGTCTGACGCAGTACGGGCCGACGGAGACACTGCAGGAGACGGAGACGGTGGCGCTGCCGCCCACGCGGACCTCGACGGCGTCGGTGAGCAGCACGCTGTGGTGGAGCGACGTGGCGTGCCCGACACTCGCAGTGACGACGACGGCGGCTGGTGGGGGCCTGACGCAGAACGACATCCGCGGCGGTGGGAGCGCCGTCCCGACACGGCTGATGGTGGCGCTGCCGCCGCCGTTTCGTTGGGCACGCGACCCGCAGCTCTGCACGCATCTGAGCTTTGTGCCGGTGTCGACCGCGCAGCCGCGCGGGTTTGGTGGTCCGTGGGGAGCGATGCTGAGCAACGCGACGTGGGTGCGCAACGCGACGAATCCGTCCACCGTCCTGGAGCTGGTTGTGCCCGTGCACCGCGGTTACTTCATTGCTGCCGACGAGACGATAGTCATTCGCTGCGACGCTGCGGCGGTGTCCGGCGGCTGCAGGGGTGTGCTGCTTGGGTTCCTCACGATCAGGTCGAACACGCTGCCCGCCGCTGCCAGCGCCCTCTCGGCGATCACCAGCGTTGTTGCGGGTGCGACGGTTGTTGCCGTGGTGGTGACCGGCGGGCTGGGCTCCATCCTGGAGATGCAGGCGCTCGGCGTGTTTGCGAGGATGTCATGCGCCTCGGCGCAGGAGCGTGAAAGCACCGTTGCGCTGCCGTACTTCCTGTCGGTGTTCGCTGCTCTTGATCCGCTGTGGATGGTGGTGGGGAACGCGCTGCTGGCCGCTGTGTTTGGGTGCGTGCACTGCGGTGTGGCGGCGGCCTTCCAGCGGTGGCGCGGCGTGGACGCGACGAGTGCGTGGGCGGCAATGCGCTTCCCGAGCCTGACGTACGTCGTGGCGCACGCGATGCACCTCGGCATCTTCTTCGGCTCCGTGCTCGCACTGGCGATGCCCGGCGCCCGCGTGCAGCACCGCGTGATTGGTGTCGTTGGCGTGCTGTACGGTGTGGCGTTCCCTGCTGGTGTGTGCTACTTCATTGCCCGCCACGTGGGCGCGAGCTTCACGAGGTACTGGCAGTTTTCGAGGAAGCCGTTGCACGAGCGCCTGCTGTACCCCGTCGGGTATTGGCACCCTGCGGCGCAGCAGCGGATGTACGGCGGCATTCTGACGAGCATGAGGGGCAGCCATGTGTACTGGTGCGTGTTCCAGCTGTCGGTGCTGTGTGTGGTGGGCCTGATTGCGGCTGTGCACTCGCCTGTGGGAGGCTGCCACGTCCAGTGCTTCTGCATGGCGGCTGTGCTGCTTGCGGGCGCGGGCGTGGTTGCCTTCACGAACATGATGCGCTCGGCCTTCCTGACGGTGATGCACGCGGCGAGCTTTGTGCTCCTTGCGGCGTTGTGCCTGGTCAGCGCGGCCAACCATCTTGCGCCGAGCGACGGCGGTGCGAGGGCGTACGCGGCTATCGTGCTGCTGCTGACCACTGCGCTGCTTGCGATCACTGTGTACGGCGTCGTTGTGTGGCACGCGGAGGACCGCCATTGGCAGGAGCTGCGCGAGCCGCTGCGTGGAGGGCTGGAGGCGCTGCTGCGCGATGACGAGGAGAGCGACGAAGAGGCGCGGAAGCCGCACGAAATGACGTCATCGTCGTACGCCTCAGGCACCGCCGGCGCGTCGTCGTACCGACCACCCGCACCGCCGTTGCAGCCCATGACTAGTGACATTCGCTCAGACGCACAGAGCGTGTTCGACGGTGCATCCAATGCGAGCTGCAGAAATAATAATGCCACTTTGGACAGGTGAAGATGCTTCCCTTGACGAAAAATTTGGTGCAGTTTCTCTTTCTCGAGGTGGAAAGGCTTTGCCCCCCAACAGTATTTTTACGCGGCGAGAGGGCACAAAGCACCTTGCAGATGCGGCATAACGTGGATGCTTCTGGCGGATATTTTTTTTCTTCCATTATTCATAGATTGATTGGGTGATTGATTTGTTGCTTTTACTTTATTTTATCGATTATCGACGACAACGGATTATCGAGCTATCACGCTAGCCCGGGGGCGGGTGCGTGACGTGTGTGTGCGTGTGTTTTGCGCTCTTCGCTGCAGCACCGAATATGAGGGCTGTTGCTCTCTCACTTTCATATCTATAATCTGTAATGAGGACGTGCTCGACGATGGTGGCTGGTGTGCGGGCCATAGGAAGCATTCAGGAAAGCGTTAGGGAAAACAATCGATGAAGCCCTTCTGTGACGCATCACCTCCTGGAGGTTGTGAGTGTGCGTTGTTGGCTGACATGAGGGAGGGCGTGGGGCCACTGCTGTGCAGCTGCGCAGCCACCCATCGGACTC